CAATGCTCTATCCAGATTATATTATAGAGATCAGTGGTTGCTCCAGGCACCTTGATCTATTTCAAACCGTTTCGGTTCCTTCCGGTGTTTTTATATACCTACAGTTCACGCGAAATCCCGTAAGCGTGACTACATGTAGGGCGCTGACATCTTGGAATTCAGCCGCAAAGTGAATGAATTATTTCGAAACAATTACAAAAGAAGGTATATAACAGTATTTGTTTGCCTGAGTCGCCCAATTTTTGTAACTTATGCAAACTTGTATATTTGTGACTACCGTTAAAGCCACAAATCTTGACATTATCGCTAACTCTAAATGTAAATCAAATGTAAATTAAAAAGCTGTGCAAGTTGTGCAATCTGTTTGGGTGATACTCCACTATAGTCTATAGTATAGGACTAGGAGTGTTCCCAACTTTAATGTATTTTATATATATATCATATATATATATGGTCATGGTCATATATTACTTTGTGGTCATTTAGGTTAGCTAGGGTTAGGGTTAGGATTATCAATCATTAATAATTAATGATATCAAAGTTGGGAACACTCGTAATGGAGCGTTAGCCATCTGTTTAGTAATGCTGAGAGTGAGAGGGTCTGTGTCCCCCAGAGTACTGCCGGAACGTACCCTGGTACTATCTAATATGCCGGACCGTACCTCGCCTACTCCACAGGCACCTATATCTAACACGATCCCCCAATGCGAGCACCGAAGGTGTGAGAAGGTAGGACACACAATTTCACGAATGTCCGAAATCAATGAAAGTTTTTGATTCTCAATAAAAATATGCACATCCCCGTATTCCTACTTTGTTGTACTAACCTCCCCTGTATATGTTTGCACTGTCGATGATATTTGACAGCGTTAGGAGAGTAAAATCCGTCGCCAGTAAAAAATCAACTTCCCACACGTTCAATGGTGGTCATGGCGTGGCAAGTCATGGCAATGCCGCCACCTGATTGGACAAAATTCGAAACACAAGTCGCCGCAATTTTTGTAACGTGTGGGAACTGTTAATTTTTCACTAATATGGAATATATGCTATATACGCTGTAAAACATGATTGACAGTTCAACCAAAGACGCCGGAGACAACAATACAAACTAAGAACGTGTATGCACATGTATTTTAATTGAAACATTCACATTTTTTATCTAAAAAAGGTCCGATTTGATAAAGTAAATGTGTGTCCTACCTTCTCACACCTTCGGGTGGCTCGCATTGGGGTCTGTTAG